AAGTCATAGGTAGAAAAGACAGGACAGTAGAACATAAGTCATAGGTAGAAAAGACAGGACAGTAGAACATAAGTCATAGGTAGAAAAGACAGGACAGAAGAACATAAGTCATAGGTAGAAAAGACAGGACAGTAGAACATAAGTCATAGGTACAAGCCAGGATAGAATAATACATTAATGATTAATAGTAGGTAAAAAATCTCGATGCAAGCTTAGAGAAAATGTAAAAAGACAAAAAATGGATCTTAGTATACCAATAGCTGTCTGCGTGGAACTATAGCTGTGCGTGTGTGTGTGTGCGTGGTAGTGTGTGTGTGTGTGTGTGTGTGTACCAATAGCAGCATTTGTACATAACCATCTAGTGTTTGAGCTTGCTAACTCACAGAATATGGCCCCGTTCTGTCTGTGTGTCCCTCAGTGTTCTTCATCTGTAGTAGCCTCATGCTCTCTGGCCCTTGAGATATAACGGAGAAACATAAAGTCTGACAGATGTCCCCCCTGTTGTAGCGGCTTTGACTGGGTGTGTGGCGGGGTTGTTTTGTTAAAAGACCTGGTCTTGGCTTGAAATGCCAAACACTTCAAAGCAGATTCACAAGATATGAACGAAATGATTTCAAAGATGCCAGTGTAGTTTGTTTTTGGGTTTTTTGTTGTTTTTTTTCTTTTCCTGTGTTTTTTTTTTTTTTAATAACTTTTTTCTATATTTTTGTTGTGTGTCATATTGTGAGTAGGTGTGTAGTCCTGTGTTGATGTTTCCTGCATGGTGATGTGTACGTGGCAAGGAGAAGTGTCAGTGTCAGACAGCTCTGGATATGTGTCTCTGTGGACTACACCTGTACCCAGATTGTAGAGCAAAGGAGTAATGTTTTAATGTGGGAAACATTCCATGTCCTGTAGTCACTCTTGTATGCTCTGTATGCTCTTGCACAAACAAGAGGAGGAAAAGTGGGTAGTAAAAGTCAAGTATAATTTCTCTCCCCTCCCCTTGGTTTTGTGCACATTTATGATGACAGCCTACTGACTGGCGTCTGTGGTGTAGCAGTTCTGTGCTTCCCTCTCAAACACAAGAGACCCATGTTAGGTTCCCAAATGGAGACTATTTTTTAATTGAGTATCCTGGTATTTCTGCTTGGATGTTTTATCGCTCTCAACCCACCTTCTAAATGAGGTAGATAATGTTTAGGGGAAATGTAAAATTTCTACAAAGACATAGATAGACATGAGGGGAGTGTAAAATCTCTACAGATACATAGATAGACATGGCAG